ATGGCAACTCGATTTGCCATTGAAGTGTAATGAGATTAAAAAAAAAATTTAGCCTTTCTCGTCTACACACAACACTTGTGCACATTAACGCATAGCTAAGTAAACAAATTGTCGTTATCTATAAATATGAACGCCGTTCGTTGTTGTATAAATGTTTGGAGTAGGTGAGTGTGAGTATTGATGTCGGCCAAGAGGAGAATCAAACAGCATTCACATTCTGATTCTTTTAAATCGTATCTCATTAGAAGTTGAAGAAGAATGACGCAGTAATTATATCATATACTTGATAATTTAATTACTTCGAGATAAACAGACTTTATGTACAAAGAAAGTTGTTTCAGAAGCACGCGTATTGTAAAGGAAGAAAGAAAATCGTTTATGTGGTGTTTTTTTTTTCTTTATTCGTATCGTTGAACTAAAAAAAATATGTATTTTTGCAAAATCAATCCGGGAAGCTTATCGAAAAAATCTAACTATCCTAGGTAAGCAAAGGATGATTAAATAGACTGATCATTTTGCTGATCATGACGGCACGTCTTGTATTATTTTTTTTCTCAGCAAGACTAGCAATGCGATAACCTCTTGATACCCGTTCGGAAGCAATTTGAAATAAAAAAGGAGCGTCCACAACGCTGCATAGGACTAATTGCAGTGTCTTACGTACCGACTGAATCTGGACTAGTCTAAATGATAGAAGTATAAGCAAGAAGGTCACATTCAATCATGCACATAATATGTCACTTACGGATCATCTAACTGATTGAAGTATACGATCAAGTGATCAACTTCTACATGTTAATAAACATTCTAAGATACTTTTTAATACAATTTTATTCATAGTTATTTTTAATTTCACCATGAATAAAAGGCTGTGTCATAGAATGCAGAATTACTTACATAAAATAGAACAGGACTAATATAAAATTGTTTTTTATTTTTCCAAAAATTTTTTTTCTTCTTGCTGACATCTAGAAAAGTTGTTTTACATTTAAAATAAACTAAAGATAATGTAAAATTTAAAAAAGCAAATTATTTCTTTTTATGTCATGATTGAAGACTATTTCAATCTTAAATTTTTGCAATTCACACTAAACAACAAACTGAAATTATATAATTCATATATTCTTAAATTTAAATCACCAAAATTAATATTTAAATTAAAAAAAAAATTATACCATAAATGAATCAGAGTTTTTTTTTTTATAGTGAATTATTTCAAATTTAATTAGCAGTCTAATAAATTTTAAAGAACATTAATTGACAATTTCCGTTGAGAAGTAATCAGAAGACTAGATATTTCTATGTGCAGCTTTAGGTTTCAATATAGTTTTATTTTTTGAATTTAAAAAAGTACAAATCTTTTCTCCTCAGAAAAGTGCTCGATGAACTTTTTGACATGAAGCAAAATAAAATTAGAAAGTTAGACACCGTATATGATGAAATATATAAAAATATAGATACCTTCAATATTTTGACGACATTTGAATCCAATTAAATCGCTTCTCTTCAGTTACTTTCAATTGCAAATCGAATTAACAAGTACCACTTTCTTATTTAGACTGTTCTAAAATCATCTGTGTGTCGTTAAATCGTAGTTTACCGGCAAAAGATCCGTCGGATTAAATGTTCGAATCTACCTTTTGCCTCTTTTCTTTCTTATTTTTCTGTTCTGCTGACTAGTCTGGATGCGATGAACAAAAAACGACTAGACATGACGGATGTAAGTACGTTTTGGACTAGTCTAAACGTAATTGAGAACACGTTCCTCAGAAAGATAACTGGTCTCAATAGGTGTGCAAGATGTATTAGACTACATCTGACTAGTGGTATATACATTTTAGACTAGTCTTGTTAAGCGTTCTCACTTTCTTTGCTTTCTTGAGATCAAAAGATGTTTATAAAATGAAGAGATGAGAAAAAACTTTATAAATTCAAGAAAAAGAAATATGTCCAGGAGATTGTTGTTTGTTTAATTGAATAATCTTAAAAACACTCTTACCTAATGATTAAAGTAACATATTGATACAAAACTTCACACCAAACAGTTTATCTTTTCAGCAAAGTTTTAGGAACTTCTACTGTGCAATATAATCGATGATTTACTTTAATAAATATCGATTAACAAATACACAATGAAATGAGGAATCTTATGTTTTCCTCTTTTTCTTTCTTTCCTTGTTCAAACTCATACGTCATTTATATGGAACACTATAAAGATGTAAGTTCCATTTGTCTCCAAGACGCAATAAATGAAAAAAAAAGAATGAGAAAAAAAGCCATTATATTGAAAACAGGCCTCGCAGCGTGTGTACTTTCCCGATTTGTTCCTGATTTTTTTAAGGTGTCCTGATTTTCCTGCTTTTGACTGAAAATCCTGATTTTGTCCTGATTTCTCAAGATTTATCTCTGTAGAACCACATATACGTCATTTTGATGTTTTATTTTGCTATTCTCAACGTTTCTTAAAAATTTTATGAAAATATTTGTTGAATATTTTCTATAAAAAGAAAGATGGTACTCAAATTTTTATTTTGTTCATTTTTTTTCTTGTAATCACTTTAAGAAACGATTATTTCGAATTAATTGGTTTTTGAAAGCAGCTATTTTATTATTAGTAATTATCACCAGTACTTCGGCGGTAATTATATCACACAGTTTACGACCGTGCGTAGCTGCACTAAATCTTCTATTCCCTTATTTTAACATTTTAGTCGATTTACTAAAGTTTTCTTGTAAACGCTTTTATTCGTTTCTCTATAACATGGTTGTTTTATATATGCGAAGAGCAGGGATATGAAGAAGAGGAAAAGTAGCAGAGATGGAAAGGAAGTGTGACGCAGGGAAATGGTTTTAGTGCCGAAAAGATGGTTATAGAACCTTAAAAACTGCGAAAATGCGAATTTTTCTTATTTCTTTTCACGGCCACTTTCCTGATAAAAATGCGATTTCGACTAGAAACAAATAAGACTCCAATAGTAAAGGATGCCCCATTTCGTAGGCCACGTATCTGAGAAAAAGAAAGCGTATACACAATGCATAATTAGAGATATCGAACGAATAGGAAAAAAGCAGAACTCGAAGCACGTATTCGTCGAAATATATAGTAATTTCAATGAACTAACACTGATTGACATACTTTTGTGCAGCTTTCATCCTGAACAATAGTACTATGATAAGACTTAAAATGTCCTGATTTTAATCGAAATTCCTGATTTTTTTCTAAAAGGTGTCTTGCCTATTTTCCTGATTTTCAGACATAGGCCGCTGCGACCCCTGTGAAAAGAAAACAGATATTCTGATTAGACCGTTGCATGAGCTTGATTAAAAAATGCGTCTTTCATGAAAGTAAATGATAACAACAAAATCACATAGAAAGAAACCACGCGAGAAAATATGACTTTAATAACATTAAAGCAACTCAATTTTGATCGATATTCAATCACAATATTAATTTAGTTTATTTGAAAATTGATCTATTTAATCGGTTTTTATATGATTAGTTTAAGAAAATCAATTTTCAGTTTAGACTTAGGCATATTTTTTTTTTCTTCACATATCGGAAGGTTTAGTAATCATCTTTCAGAGAAGAATTGTCATCTAAATCCGAAAAATACACGTAAACTGAGAAAAGAAAGCTAAGATCTATCTGATTGAAAATTACAATCAGTTAGAACAGAAACAATAATAATGACTAGGAATGATATTCTAAATTTATTGTTAGTAGTAATATTTGTCATTTCTTTTTATGACGACAAGAAATATTTTGATATTATATCTTTTGCGCGTGTTACTCCACGAAATTATATTACAACACATAATTTATACAAATGGATGACATTACACACCGACATGTTTAAACGCAACTACTGCCAATAGTAAAGGTTACACGTTTATTTATGGTCTTATTAGCTATCAGTTTTAAAAAAAGCAAAAAAAAAATAAAATGACAAAAATGTACTTGAGAGTTTCAGTTAGAATCTGTGTTGTTCAAGTACTGTTATTCATTGATCTATAGTTGAAAAACAAAAGTGGTAGGTAGTGGAATCAATATAACACATTGAAAAAAACAAAAAGTACTACATATAGAAAGGAACACATATATTGTCTCTAAAAGTTTACTTTGACGTTCTTTGTTTGATGAAATTATTCATAATGATATTTGTTATAGTAATAGAAGTTTTCTTGAAGTTCATTTATATCATAACATTGGATATATTTAAACGATAGAAAATTTTTGAATAGCTAGTTAATTTATTTTTCTACTGAATAAGTGGAGTTTATTTTGCATTTCAAATAGATTTAATATTTCGTCTTAAGGTGAGAAATGACTATATATGTTCAGGATAACTTATATATACCAACAATATAAAACAAATGAAAACGATACATATAAGATAGTTGTTATATTGTTTACAAACTAGAGTGAAAAATATCACTTTAGATTTAACACGAAAGAAAAGTTTTTATTTTATCATTGTTATCTATGGAACAGTTCTACCAAGTAAATTACTGATTGTTTGAAAAACGCTATTACTAGCTGATATAAGAAAAGGCCGAAGATGACGTGAAGCCATTGTTCGTGGCAATACTTAAATTAGGCAGATTAAACTAATATATCAAGTGGATTACTAATATTCAAAGTTAAAGCAGTTCAAATCGATTTTGTATTATCCGAGTATATTGAATTACTTGTATCTAGTGATGCCAAATTAGAAATAGAAATAATAATTAATAAATTAAATAGAGAATACGTATTATAATGCTTAATTGAAGTCATATATTTTTGTAATATGAATATAACCAGCAAACTTTTATCAATATAAGTATTTTTGTCCTCAATGATATTTTCACCTCAAATGATGAAATAAGAGAGTAGAAAAGAGTATATGTTTGTTTTTATGTTGATTGATACATATAATTATCATAGGTGATCTATTTCTGTTTTGCTGTATTAATGAGTAAAAGAAGAATAGAGAAAAAAAAACAACAAAGTTTTTCATTTAAAGAAGTTGGTTTGCTGTATTTCGAACACCTGTGATTACTTCTGCTAGAATAGGATTAAGATCGATTGATTGAAGTGTTGTATTAATAATATCAGCAATTTTATCTAACACTACAGCCAACTGAACTTGAGCATTAACACCTAAGTTATAAAACAAATATATTTATAAAAGAAAATAAAAACAAAGGCATGTAACTTTTTTTTTTTCTTACCACGAATTTTTAATTGAACAGCTGAAATGCCTACTGAAACACCTGCAGTAAGATTAACGAGTGATGCGACTCGTGCATCAAGATTTAAACGAGCTTGAATATTATTTACGTTTAATTCAATGGTTGATACCGTAATTCTTGCATCAAGCCATACATCAGGTGGTTTGCTAACATCAAAGGGAAGTTCTTGTGTACAAATAGATGTACTTCCTGTACAATTATCTGTTGATATTTCTTGATAATTTGTATAACCAACTGAAGAAGTAGTACTTTGATCTAAAGGAAATTTAGATAGCAAACAATTTCTTTAAAAATAACAGAGAACGGACCTGTTTGACCGGTTACAGATACTACCAATAATAAGATGCTTAACAATAGCATGCTAGACATAATTCGATTTGAATTTCTTTCGTGCTTATTTCTATTGTACAAAACTCAGATTGATGATCTGATCAAGCGTGACATACATTTGCCTTTTTCTTTCTCTTACTCTTCCTTTCAATTTTTTTCTCTTAGTAAAAAAATACACAAAAGAGACACCTTTAACGATCATGTTTACGTTATTATTCAATGAATGAAATCCGCATCGTATAAATTAAGAGCTTGTTGTTATTACGACTGAAAACATATATTCATTTAAAGATTTTTCTGTAAGATATTAATCCGATATTCGACCTTCTTGTTATGATTTCTATGTAAAATTCGTATATGATGAAATTAATTGACTTTAAAAGCTTTTATTTTCAATATTTGATATCATTAAAGATAATGAATATGATAAGAAATTATAATCAATTTCGAAATATCGAACATAGAATGACATAATTGACTCAGTTTATTATTTAGAGGAAAAAAAAAATTCAAATCCATAAAAAGTTTGTTTTTTAGTAACAAATCATGTATTATTTCAATTTAATTGAATATAAGAACCAACAGTCATCAACTGAAATAATTTCATCTGAAACAAAATCGAGTATACAAATAAACGCTAATCATTGTTACTTACACAAGTCATGATATTAAATATCAAATCATATTCTAATATATGATTATAGCTTTTGAGAATATTTTTAATAAAGATTTTCGTTTATTAACTACTTCATAACAGAAAATAAAATATTGTTCAAGCATGATGTTGTTGAGAAAAATAATCTTTTTAGTACTAGCGATAAATATTGGTTCTAATTAATAATAATTTATTCCTAGAAAACTAACAACAAATGACTAACTAGAATGTATTGAGTCAATTACGTTCATTTGACTTTCATTGTTTTCTATGAAAACAATCTTCATGGATTTCTCACATGAAATGAACTGTATTAAGAAATTCAAAATTTTCCTAAGGCATAATCTATTAAAATAAAAGAATTGATAGTGGGATACATTGAAAAATACAAGTGATGATAGTCTATTCCTGTTTTGTTTTGCAAAACATCCTACTTGAAGAGTATTTAAAATAAAATAAGCTAATCTATCTTCAAACTGCAAAGTGCATGTTCATGCCGACAAAAATAAAAGAAACTAAGCGTTCTGTCAAAATTAGTATTGTGAGTTTCTTCCACGGTGGTTCAAATTTTTCGATTCTTAACGAAGCCAGCATGAAGTTTAGAAAGTATAAAGCTACAAAACTTCATATTCAAAATTGTTATTCCATTTACAGTACAATACAATCATAGAACTTCATTAAAACTCTTCTCGTTGAAAGAATAAATTGAAAACTCTAGAACAAAGAAGGAAAATAGCTTTTGTCTGATTATCAATAGATATTCACTATTGCAGAACATACTGCTTAAAAGTAATGGATTTAATACTTCTAGATCATTTTGATTAAATATAAAAATCTTCAGTTGTTTTTTACATATTCACTTTGGATAGATGAAATATCCAGAATTACCCGATAATATGAGATACGGAGGTAGAATAGCAGCTTTCTATAGCCTATGATTGTATTAAATAGTTCAAACTTATAAAATTTTACCAATTAAAAAGACGGTATTAGAAAAAAATATATTCCTATAAAAACTTAGATTCTATGTTCATTATTTATCAGAACAAATTTCGAATTCAAAATTTTGGTTGTTCTATCAAATAAATATGACATAATGCATATAGCATAATAGGACATCTTGCTTCGATATTTATTATTTATCCATTACGGTAAAACCTTAGTTTTTTTTTCTCTATGCTACTAAGTAATTTTCTTTGAGACAGTTAACACATATATAACAATATCGACAGCTATTATTTTAAAATATTTTTCATACAAAAGATGATTTATCAGAGGTATTTTAAGTATTGTTAATTGTTTTCTCTTTCCATCGATTTATCAGGATTAGAAATGAGTAGGACAAATGTTTTTTATCCTGACCATGATCGGCATAGCTTCTTTTAGGATAGTCTCGATCAATCTCATCTAATCTTGATCTTCACCTGAAGAGAACTATTTCAAAATTTATTCTCATGAAATCCAAAAACAATTCTTAAATATTCATTTTTTGATTTTAATGCCTTATAAATGCCATTTTGCTTCATCACCTCTTGCTAACGTTGTTTTGATTGATATGATTTATAAGATAATTCGCTTGAAACCATAGCCCAGTGAACTACAATGTTTAGCATGAACTGCACAATATTGTTCTTGTAGTAGTCTCGATTCAAGCTTCATTTCTAGTCAGCATAATCGACATTGGGTCTCATATTAGTCCTAAATATCTTTAATCTGAGTGCTAAAATTGAATAATACGCAATATTTCTTGATTGGATTAGACTTCAATAAAAATATCAAAAAGAATTACTATATGAAATAATGTTTATGATTTAGAATATATACTAATGATCCAATCATCAGAAATAATATCATATATATTTTGACAATCAATGAAAAGTTTAAAAAAAAATTCTTGAAATTTTACAGTCTCATGATTTCCTGTAGCATTTATATATATGTAAATATAATTACAAAACTTAAAATGAATCATTAAAAGACTTAAAATACTTTTGGAATGATCATATACGGTACTTTTTGTCTATATTCTTCATATTTCATGCCGAAATGTTGTTTTAATTCTTGTTCTTCAATATGAATGCGATAAAAAATAACTAAAGAAATCGGTATTATTGAAATAAATAAACTTAACCAATTATTTAGAAGTAACCCCAAAGCAAGAAAATACAATAATAAACCTGCATATGATGGATGGCGCATTTTTTTATACCATCCAAAATCAATTAATTTTTGATTTTCATCTGTTCGAATTACGGTTGTAAACCATTTGCCTAATTGTTCTATTGATTGTTTTCGTAATAAAATGCCTATTAGATATAAACTAATATTAAATGAAATCCACAAAAAATATATAAAAGATTTATTAGCAATTATTTTTGATCCATAATCTAAACGAACACAACTTATGGACAATGCTTGTGAACATATTATAATTAACCAGATAAAAATAAATGTTCCACGATCTTTCGATGGAGATTTCGTTGATGTTGACGATGAATATTTTGTCTTTGAAATATACATTTCCATCAAGAAACATGGAATACCAAGTACAAGACATAAAAAACTATCTAAGTCCATTTTTTCTTTTTTACCATAACTAGAAAAGATATTAGGTACGATATCAATGATAGCAAATTTTACGAAGATCCATATTTTACCGAATCTATATTAAAGAGATAACGAAAAAAAAACTATTGGGTTTCTAATAAACCATAATTCAAGCTTTCATTTTGGATAAAAGAAACAGAAAGGAAAAACCTTCGAGTAAATATATTATGTGTCTCGAATATTAATTTAAGGGTACTTCCCTCTTGTTTGATCATTTCTGGATCTCGAAGGGGGAACAATCGATCTGCATGAAACTTCTACCACAGATAGATCACCTACAATGATGAGACAAATATTCCATGAAAAGAAATTTAAACAAGATTTTCGAGATTTTTTAAGAAATTCTGGTTTTTCATAGGATCGCATAGTCTATTTACGAAACTACTTCCTCTTGTCTTTAGCATCGTCCGAACGAGCTGAAATTTCGACCACAGATACTTGAAAGTATTCTTCAACGGTGGAACGAGCCTTTCTCATTTTTGACCTTCCTATGAGGATTTAGAGAGCCCTGAATGCAAGCAGCCCGATTGTGAATCTGAACTTTAACAAATCTCTCATCTATAAAAAAAAGGAAGTGAAATTTTTAAAAATCTTGTTTCGTTAGCATGCTTTTATTCACATTGACTTTTGATCTTCTAATTATAGTCATGATTTAATCGTTTTCTTTCAATCAATTAAAGGAAAAAATACTCGTATCAATAGAAGAAAATGCTTTTAATGTTGATAAGTTATTCGACTATGTCTATTATTACCGTTTATTGATAACTCATACAGTATAATTAAATATTTTCTCTATTTTTGTTGTCGTATCATTTAAACAATCCAATATTTCAACTCTACCAAAATTAAAAAATTTTGCTCATTCAATATTTGAATACATATCTTCTTTTTCTTTGTCACATCCACACACATTGTTTTTTTTTGTTTTTGCAAACAGAGAAAGAAAAAAAAAGAAAAGAAGACAAAGTTAAACCTCATTTACATAACAAGAGAGATCAGCTACATACATACAAAAAAAAAAAGAATAAGAGACTCTTTGGCTTTTTCCCGATTTTTTTTACAAATAGTATAACATATTTTAACAAACGACAAGAGAAAAAAATGCGAGATATACACAGATACAAAAAAAAAACAGTATATGTAGCTGTGAAATTCAAGCACGAATAGATTAGGACGTTCTAAAACAAGAAAAAAAAAACAAAGATTCAATAAAATAAATGATCAACATATTCTATAACTTACTCTGATGTGTCCATGCCATCTGGATTACCTTCTGTTGCTGTAGATTCAATTGTCGGTGTTGCTATTGTTTCATTTTCATCTTCTACTGTCGTAGTTTTCTTTACTTCTTCAATAGTTGTTGTTGTAATTGCTTCTGAACCTGTTGGTGTTATTTCATTAGATGTTCCATTTTCTGTTGTTTCACTAGAGGTCGATGGTATCACAACAGTTGATTCAGTAGCTTTTGTTATTTGAGTTACAGTTGTACCATTGACTGTTTCCGAACTAGTTTGATGTTTATTTGTAACTTGTTTAAAATTTGTTTGATTACGTCGATTATCACCATCTTCATCTTCTGAATCGGATAATTCACGTTCATCAACTACACGACGATCACTTTGTACTTGTGATATACGCTAGAATAAAATTTATTTTATTAAAATTTTGATTTATTCAAAAAAATTAATTTACTTTATCAGAATCATTATCTTTATCTTCATCAACAACACGATCAACATCCATAGCATCATCTGGTATAGCTAAAACAACAAAACTAATCTATAAAAAAAAACCAACAACATTGTTCTATCGTTTAGATCTTACGTTGCATTTGAACACCCGGTACATGCGGTAACATTCGAAGATTATCAAAAAGTTTAACTCTAATAAAAAAAATCAATTTCAAAATAGAAAAATTTCTTTTTTTTTGTTAAATATTTACTTGATTTTATCTAAATATTCCGAACTATTTTGATTAGGCATATTTGATGGACTTATATGTAATTTAAAATCTGGTCCATAGTACTCAAAATAATCATTATAAGGCAATTCTATAAAGAAAAACAAATCAATCATATTTCTTTTATATCTTTCATTTATTAATAGTAATTACCATTCGGAATTTCTTGATTAAGTGCAATTGATGTTTCGTATGTCCAAGCACGAGCAACATTACGTATTGTATAACCACCACCACCAACGAGTAATAAAGGTAAATTAAAACCTTTCATAAATTCTACACATTTACCATGGCCTAAAAAAACAATATTCTGTATTTTGTATTCTTGAATAAAAAAAACAAACAAACCTTTAAGAGTTAAATTAAAACAACCAAGACGATCACCAGTTAATGAATCAGCACCACATTGAAGTACAACAGCATTTGGTTGATATGATTCCATTACTTTTGTCATAACTGGTTTAAATATTGTTTCATAAGAATCATCATCAATGCCATCACGCAATGGAAAATTCACGGCATAATATTTTCCGCGACCAGCTCCAATATCCTAAAAGAAATTTTAATTTAGTCTCAGAGAACCATCCCGTCACACCAAAAATCAATCATCCAAATTTTATGTTGATCTTTTTCCTTAATGGTAAGTCACATATTCAGAAATCAAAGAACTCTAGAAAAGCTGACACATAACCTTTCAGCACCTATAACTCAAAACTAAAAGCCCCCTCCTGAGAACAGACTAACTGTTCATCTACTAAATGACGCACCTCCGATATGTTCACCATATTATCGAAGGGAACTCTGCCGATATTAGAATACGCTCTGACACGATTTTTTAGGCATTTTCATAGAGAGAACTGAACAAAAATGGCTTATGAACTTCTTGTAAGATTAAAACTATTCAATGAAAAAATGTGATGGATAGCTCGGACATGTGTCATTTTGGAGAAAATTATTTTCTATGTGACCTCGTGTAATCCAAAGAAGTTTTAATTTTTAAATTTTCCCGTCTTGAATCACAAGATTTGAGGTTTTCTACAGGCTTGAGATTTTGACAATACTGATTACGTAAAGAATATCAACCATTGAACGCTTCTGTCAATTGGAAAGCCGTTGAGAGCTTTTATCCGTCTTACAGATGAATGTCTTACTGTACGAGTAAATATAGATAAGTCTAAATGGAATGGTTTGCATAAATCCTTGTTCTGAATGTTTCGTAGTTTATTCAACTCCTAGTTTACACGAAGATAAATATCAGTCAAATGTTTGGTACATTTGTTTTTTTTAAGATAGTTTTTCTGCCAAACTAGCTAATAATGGAAGGCCACACCTGACAAACGTTGATTCAACTGACTTGGTTTTTTTGCTTATGACTGGATCTCAATCAACTAATAAAATGCCGCGAAAATGAGATATTTAGCAGTCCTTAGAACATGTTCACATTCTCTTGCAACATAGAGACTTCCTTCGTGGAATAATGAATATATTCGTTTTGTCGAAGCTTCCAGGATATTCTGACGGCTATTTTCATGTCTGTATCAACTCCTCTTTCAAATGTTAAAAAACATAGGATAGCTATCAATACATTTCGAAAAAAAACCAGAGGTTCGTTTTTTTCAGACATTTACTAATCTTACTGAGGCCTCTTTACTCCCAAAACACAAACCAGTTCAATCAGCTATTGTTAGTTAGCAGGTTTTCCTTGTAAAACGAATGATGAAAACAAAATCATTCAGAAAAAAAACTAAGCCCGTCAAATTTCATTGTCATAAATTCAGTTAGAAACTTTTTGAAAAAGTCTCATCCAATAGCGTGGATATTCTCGAACTTCCGACAACCTTTTTCATAGTTTCAAGAACTTTCTATGCTTGACACTTCAACGTCTTCGACAGATCTGTAGCTAATCGTCTAAAAATTTTTCATGAAAAAAGAAAAAACATACAAACATGCTAAACTATCCGGCCTCACTTTTGCAGACAAGACTGTAATCATACGATTTTGTATGAATCCTTGTAAGTGAACTGGAGACACACAAAAATAGGGCTAGTTTCTCAAGAGAATCTCAAGAATATAAGCAGGAGTGTCTCGAGCGAATGACTCCACTATCTTGAAAACTTCCGTTTTTTTTTTTTTTACCGATTTTTAAAAAAAAACCCACCCCCCCCCCCCCCCCCCCCCTCTTACAAATTCGATCAACTGTAGGAAAAATCTTTCGATTGGCGTCCCGAGCCATCCATCCACTAATCCTAGCCACTTCATGACATTTCTGAATACACATTTCTAACTACCAAAACAACTTACTCTTAAATCACCAGTACCCGGAAAATATTCTCCGAATTTGTGAAATGATACCGTCATAACTCTATCTGTTGTATAAAAAGCTTCTTCAACACCATCACCATGATGAATATCAATATCAATATAAAGTACGCGTTGATGATATCTTAAAAAGATAGATTAAAAATTTTTATTTGTCTTCATTCATTTAAAACGAAAAGAATTTACTTGAGTAATTCGAGAATAGCTAAAACAATATCATTGATATAACAAAATCCAGATGCTTCAGATTTTTTAGCATGATGAAGACCACCAGCCCAATTGATAGCTATATCAGTTAGCTTTCGATTAAGTTTAACGGCACCAGCTAATGAACCACCAGCTGATATTTGACAAAATTCATAAAGACCTTCAAATACTGGACAATCTTCACCAACATTAAATCGTTGCATTTGTTTATTAAAATCAAGAATATTATCCGGTCGAATATTTTGAATAAATTTTACATATTCATCACTATGAAAACGTGTCATTTCATCAGCTATGGCTTTATGTGGACGCTTAAAATAAGAAATCAATTTTTAGCAAACAAAAATATAAAATATTATTTTCGAATTAATATACATACATAAACTTCCATTTTACGATAAAGTCCATAATTAAGAATTAAATTATGTGTCATACGTATACGATGTGGTTTCATCGGATGGCCTTGTCTATATAGAAACAAGAT